TCTATTTTCATGTGTATTTATGTAGTGTTATTCTAAATGTTAAAAAAATTAATTATAGTACGGAACCGAACAGAACCGAACAGAACCGAACCGAACCGAACCCGAACGGTTCCAGAATTATATTTGGAACCGACGGGTCCATTTACTAAATACCCGAAAATCTCTGGAACTGAAAAAAACCGAACCGAACCGACCCGCGCCCACCCCTACCTAATTCCGGTTATAGCTTGAGTTTTTTACTTCCCGAAGTGAAAATGGTGGACAATATGAGGAGAAATGGGGACCAGAAGACAGTTACTGTACCCAAAAGGAAAGCTGTAAGAACCAGTATAAAACAACAAATTAACCAAGTCACGGCTTACTTAAAGAACACACAGTTGCGAAAGAAAGAAAAATCAGTTTTTGATGACAAAATTGTATTTATTGAGGGTTGTAATCTTGCATTTGATCTTCAAGATCTATTGAGCGCTTCTGCTGAGAGACTTGGACAGGGAACATTTGGGTATACATATGGTGCACAACTAAAAAATGGACAGACAATAGTTGTAAAGAGATTGAGAGAAGTGAGTGTTTCAAGAGTCGGGTTTGAGCAGCAGATGAACTTACTGGGCGATATCAAGCACGAGAATGTGGTTACGCCAAGGGCATTCCACTTCTCCAAGGATTATAAGTTCATTCTATATGATCACTACAAGCAAGGGAGCGTTTCCGACATGCTACATGGTATGTTTAATCAAAACTTCCTGTACTGTTGCTGAAACAACTCTAATTGAATTCACAATCTCAATGTGCAGGAAGAAGCGAAGGAAATAGAATTGATTTGAATTGGGAAAACCGACTAAAAATTGCAATTGGCACAGCACGAGGAATCACTCATATCCACACAGAGTGTGGTGGAAATCTTAAACATGGAAATATAAAAGCCTCAAATATTTTCCTAAATTCTCAAGAATATGGTTGCATTTCTGGTCTTGGATTGGGGAAATTGATAAGCCCGACAGCACCACCATTCATGTGGATTGCAGGATATGCTGCTCCGGAAGTCATGGACCCCGGCAAAGTGTCCCAAGCATCTGATGTATACAGCTTTGGAGTCCTGCTGCTTGAACTTCTCACCGGGAATTCCCCGATGAATTATAGAGGTGACTGCGAGTACGAGATTGACAACTTTGTTAGATGGGTTCACCTTATGGTATTTAACGAGGGGCTGGATGTTGAAGTATTTGATGCACATATATTTAGGTATCATAATATAGGAAAATTGGAACAAATACTGGAAATTGGAATGAGTTGCGTGGCAAGAATTCCAGAGCACAGACCGAAAATGTCAGATGTAGTGAAGATGATGGAGAACGCTAGAGCGCCTAATGAAGATTTTGAGTACTCCCTAATGTCGGAACTCTGTTCATCAGATTATGAAGATGATGGAGAACGCTAGTAGAAGTTAGTTCTTGTGATGAAAATACAGACACGGAGATGTGTATATACTTTGCAGTTGTTTTTCTCTTTGTTAATCAATAATTGTATTAAAATAAAACTTTGTGCAATTTATGGAGAGTTTTAATATGTTGTGTACCAGCTGCATCATTCTTGAGTGTTCATAAAACATGAGAGCACAAAGTAATAGTTTGCTACCATGGGTCCACGACTCCGTCTTTTGTGCAATTCAGTGTTTCTAGCACGGCCCGAGCTTGGGCATGGTTCGAGTTGGGTTGGTTTTAAGTCCAACCAGAAACTGAAACCAACTTGGTCGCTTCGGGTAAATTCCAACCCAAATCAACAAAATCTAGCTGTTGTAACCAAATCAAATCGGTTTAGGTCAATTTGGTTTGTTTAGTCAGTTTGG